GAACCGGTAAATACCACCTCTGACTGGCCCTGCCCCCATCTGTTCTCTGTCTCCTGAGTCCCAGCTGATCAGGAGGAAATGGAGATTTTACAGTATCCTTCCCCTGCCATGCCCACCAAGCCATGCCTACCAAGGCATGCCATGCCCACAAACCACACCCACAGAACCAGTAGTAAACAATTTTGAATCCTGCCATTGCTACAGATCCTACAACAATGCATTGCAATATAGAGTTCTTTACTGCTCCAGATTAAGTTGTCATTCCCTCGGTATCCCTTTTCCTATCCTTCCAGCTTCACTGGGCTTCTTCAACACTTCTCCCCCCCTCCTGAACTTTTTATAGTAAGTTTTCTTGCACTTCGGCACATTTTGTGATTCTTTCAATCAGTTTTTTTCTTCATTCTAGCTTAAATATATTGTTAGCAAACACAGACAGAGTAAATATAGAACGTTACAGGTGGTCCTTGCCTAGCAACAGTTTATTCAGTGACCATTCAAAGTTAGAACGGCACAGAAAAAAAGTGACATGACCATTTTCACACTTGCGACGGTTGCAGCATCCCCATGGTCATGTGATCAAAATTTGGATGCTTGTCAACTGGTTCATAATTGTGACCGTTGTGTCCTGGCATCATGTGAACAATTTTTGTGACCTCCTGACAAGCAAAGTCAATGGGGAAGCCATATTCACTTAACAACCACGTTATTAATTTAACAACTGTAATGATCCATTTAACAGCTGTGGCTAGAAAGGTTGTAAAATGGGGTAAAACTCTATTTTAACAAGTGTCTCACTTAACAACATAAATTTGGGGCTCAATTTTGGTAGTGTTAAGGACTATCTGTATACCTTATTCATATTATATCTCAATAAAGGAGGGCTGTCCCAGGTCATCTAGTTTACCCAGAAGACTCTGGGAATTTTTTGGATTAGGTCGCTTCTAGTCTTGGCTAAATGCCAAAGCATTTTGGGCATTTTTTGCTGTTTATTTTACTATTTTATAACTGAATGCCTTAGAAAAATGTGTTGGAATATGTGTAAACATATTAAGCAACTGGATGAACTGGATGCATATATGAGGCAAAATCTGTAAAAATGTATATTTTAAATGAAACTTGCCCTTCTTCGCGAACTTCTTTCTAAAAAATTGCAAAGCACCGCAAAAACAGAATAGAATACTTTTAAGATAGGAAAAATGCAAAACTTAGAAAAATCAAACTACAAAGATTTATTGAGGCCGATGAGAAAGGATAAACTCACAATAACTACCAGTGAAAACATAGAGACAGAGGACATGTTTGCCTGCATCAAAACCATCAAACCGTGTTTTGAATATTACACAGGAAGAGATTGTCTGCTTTAAAATACCAATGATAATTGGAAAACACATGTAAAAATAGGTATTCCCTGAAGCATTTCTTTATAAGGCAGGAAGGCGAGGGCTTCTATAAATATCTAGAAATGATGAGTTTCAAATATGAAATGCTGATAAAGCAAAGGCATTTGGGTTATGAAACAGTAGATACAATATACAAGACGTTACCTGAAATCTGATTAAAAAACTCTGAGCTCTATAAAAAATATGTGAGCACTCTGAAGTAGCAAAATAACCACTGGCAACAAAATTCAAAATCTCTCTCACGCCAAATAGTATGTTACCCAGTCACCATGAGTGCATCACTCTTACCATCATATTTCCAAACATTTCCTCAAGAATACTTAAACATAACAGTTGAAAGACTCTTACTGGATGTGTTTCTAGTGGCTGCTTTAAGAGAAGATCTCCAAAAATATCTTCACAGTATTTTGACATTTTGTATTGTTGGTATTTGCTGGAAAAGAAGTAGTATTGTTAATCAATCAAAAATATAAAACTGACAAGCAATTAAAATACATAATGTCTTTCAACTGCATTAGATTGTTATCACACTACAGTTTAAAACAGTTACCGTTTTTTCGAAGTATAAGACGCTAAAAATATGGATGCGTCTTATACACCAAATACAGCATTTTTTTGCCTCCTGAAGCCCCGCCCCCTTCACCAAAATGGCCATGCATAGCCTTATGGAGGCTATCAGAGATCTCCTGGGGGCTGGGGAAGGCAGAAATGAGTGAAAAATGGGCCGTTCCCCACCCCCCCCAGCCTACAGCAGCACTCTATAAGCCTCCATAAGGCTATGCATGCAATTTTATTTGACAAATAAATGGCCCGTTTTCATGAAAAATTGGCTGTTTTTTTGCTTGTTTTTGACCCTCACCCACCCCAGGAGCACTCTGCAAGCCCTCCCAAGGCTATTCATGCCTTTTTTTAAAAAATGGGCCCATTTTTGCGAAAAACAGCCCATTTTGGGGAGGTTTGCAGAGTGCAAAAACTTTTTTTCCCCTTTCAGAAAACTGTTTAATTAGTGTGGTTGATGAGAATTACATTGGTCAAGTGCTGTGCCAGCAGGAGCAAAGTTTTAGGTGCTACAAGTTGTCAGCGATTTCCTTCTCCAGCACATGGATAAATACACCTGGAAACATCTACCTACCTACCTACTCTCCCCCCCCTACTTATCTACTGTATTTCTCTTTATTTTTCTCTCTCTATCCTTCTACCTACCAACCTACCTACTCTCTCTCTCTCCCTCCCCATATCTATCTACTGCATTTCTCCCTATTTTTCTCTCTCTCCCTCTACCTACCTACCTACCTATCTACACACATTCTCTCTCCCCCTACCTACCTACTGTATTTCTCTCTCTCTCTCTCTCCATTTTTCTCTCTATCCCTCTACCTATCTACTCTCTCTCTTTCTCCCTATCTATCTACTGTATTTCTCTCTCCCCCTCTCTATCCCTTTATCTACCTACCTACCTACCTACCTACTCTCTCTCTCTCTCTCCCTACCTACCTACTGTATTTCTCTCTCTCTCTCTCTCCATTTTTCTCTCTATCCCTCTACCTATCTACTCTCTCTCTTTCTCCCTATCTATCTACTGTATTTCTCTCTCCCCCTCTCTATCCCTTTATCTACCTACCTACCTACCTACCTACTCTCTCTCTCTCTCTCCCTA